TTAGACTTTCAGAAACACAAACAGACCACCCCCACACACCAACTAAAAATTTAAAAACCCTCTTTTAAAATTTACTCAGTATGTTATTAGAAACTGAAAATGGACAGGGACAATCACCAATAACACCATCAGAATAAGCTTTCCTAAATGGGACTACAACCATGTTTCTTGGGGGCCATTCCGACTCAGCTGTGGCTCTCAGCAGTTTCTCCCCTGGTTAAAATTACTCACTAGTTCCTCATCCCCTATAAACTCCAAGATCCATAATACGGCAATAAGTGCCTTCATATCCTCCTGTTAACTGTCCAGTTCAAATATCCCTTCTAGACCCTTCTAATACCAACTGCATTAGACCATTTGCTATACCCTAAACCCATTATTCAAACTGCTATAACTTCATCTAACTTTCCCAACTTGTCCCATCCTATCAGATTTAGCATATATGGCATTTATTGTATAGTATGTATTATAAGTCAATCCTTATTATTCATAGATTTTTTATTTTATAAATTAGCCTACTTGCTAAAATTTATTTGTAAACCACAAACTAATACTCAGAGAGCTTTTGTGGGTATGCTCAGAGCTATAAAGTTTGAGTCCAACCAATATTTCACAGTTGCAGCTGAGGTTGAACAAAGTGACACTTTGCTTTCATGTTTCAGCTCTCACAGCAAAAACAAGAGTCCTTTTCACTCTATTTAGTGCCACATTTTTTGTGCTTTTTGTTTGTAAGTTTGTTGTCTAAATAAAAGGCCCCAATCATAGTACTGAAGTGTTATCTGGTGTTTTTATTTATTTATTTATAAGTTTTCGGCAGACACAACATCTTTGTATGTGGTGCTGAGGATCGAACCTGGGCCGCACGCATGCCAGGCGAGCGCACTACGGCTTAAGCCACATCCCTAGCCCCTTATCTGGTGTTTTTAACACAAGGCTGTGATGTGCATTATGGAGAAAATATATATTGAAGCATAAGTATTAGTGAGATTAGCTCAATGTCATTGACTATCAACAATATACATTAAATAAGGTGTCTCTGAACAGAAACATACCCAAAACAAGGTTATGTATTGACTAGTTCATAAAAACATTGTGACCAAGGGCTTACAGGAAATTAATCCTGTATTTCCCCTAAAAGAAATAGTTCGATATTCAATAATTCGGTGTTTGCAGCAACTTTATAGACCATAGTTACCATGAATCATGAGAACTAACCATATTTTAAATTACATGTCTATCTATAATACAAAATTGTTGAGCTCTCTGAGTATATATACATGGTATCTCATTCATTTTGTACTCTTAATTCTGTATTATACCAAACACATGCAGTTAATATTTATTGATAAAATTTTAAAATTATGGCTTCAAATCACTATAATGTGATTCACCCTAAATATTTAGAATTTATCATAAAAATACCCATGTAGGTCAACTGCTACACACACCACCCATCTCAGTGAGGCCTTACTCAATTACAGAGGTAGTGGTCTGAATGTCATCATCCACTCCTGCTCCTTCACCTCCTTTACAGCAAAAGACTATGCTCTTCAACTTCAAATCTAATCCAAGTATGGTGGCGCGTGCCTGTAATCCCAGCAGCTCAGGAGGCTGAAGCAGAAAGAGGAAGATTCCAAGTTCAAAGCTAGCCTCAGCAACTTAGTGAGGCCCTAAGCAACTCAGCAAGAGCCTGTCTCTAAAGAAAAGATAAAAAAGGGCTGGGGATGTGCCTCAGTGGTTAAGTGCCCCCGGGTTCAATCCCTGGTACAAAATTTTTAAAAAGTTCAAATCTAAAATCACAGGTTTAGATTTGGAAATGGAATGGAAATGGAAAGGCATTCCTAG